GCCTTAGGCCATTTTGTGAGACTCATATTGTAATTCCATTTTCCATTTAGTAATACACTTGTTGTGTTTGCTATTTAAATTCCTAAATCTATATCTTAAGAGTGGTTATCTTAAGTGTGAGTTTTAGGTTCTAGATATTTAATTAAGTGTGTCATATCTTGATTGAATTCTAGATTCAAACCCCAAGTTAAGATAAGAGTGTGTTATATCTCTTAACACTAACTTGGTTTATCCCTTCACTTTACCTCTGCCAATTTCATTTCTCACCATTTCTTCTTCTTGAACTTATTCTTTTCTTTCATCAAAAACCCAAAAAAACAACTCTTTGTTCCACCCCCATATTTCGTCCCCCTCATTTCCTCTTCACCATTCCATAATTCCATCTTCAAATAGCAACTTGATTATACCCCGGGTCTCGGGTATAACATTTGGTATCAAAGCTCAACTTCGACGACTTTCTCAAGTCTCGACGATTACCGGAGGACCAGCTTCACCCACGTTGCACAAAATAAGGCTGCTGAAAAATTTCTCCTGAAAATTTCAGCCCCAAAGCAGTGATCACTGAAGAAGGTGCAAAAGTGATTTTGACGTGAAACTTTTCAGTATGAAAGTTTAATCTTCTATGTACGTTTGGCCACTGATTTCACTCAATTCGGAGTTGTGGTTAGCGAGATACGTCCTTCCAAAGTTGACAATGCAGTCCTGCCCAAATGCTGTCTAGCTTGCTTCTTTTGTCTCCAACGAGGTAGCACACATACTTCATTGGCTCTGAAATTTTGATATGTCTTTATGGACTTCAATATCTAACTTATAGAGTTGGAATCACGACATTCCAATCTCTTGTCGTTGAGATATGGATATCCAAAGATACTTCAAAAATCTTGAGATTATTTATGCAAATGAGGCAATCCTTCAAGGACCTATTAAACGGTGCTACATGTGTTGTGGCTATGGCCATCAGTATTGGAGGTGCACAAATAAAGAAGCCATTCCTTATGAAGAGCATGTAAGGATCATAGCAGCATATGAGAATCAACAGGATGGAAATTACGAAGATGTCTTTGATAACCATGTCAAAGATGAAGATGACGTCTTCGTAAAAGGACCGGCTTCTAATGCTCAGGAAGAATCACACTATAATGATTCTTCCCTTATTCAAGATGACTTGGTTGATGAGGTAGTTATAGAGGAAGCCACACCAGAAGTTATATATTCTAAGGAAGTGATTTCCATAGAGTATTATCCTCTTTTTGGTAAAGGAAAATCTTATCTCATCTCCGAGATATATTTGAAGCAGGTTCTTACAAGGAATGACATCATGTTCCGGAAATTACACAACGAGGTGTCCACGAATTCCGGAAGGAACCTCATTATTGGTGGTTTCTCAAATTTCCCATTTGATCCGGGAATTCTCTAATGAAACCCCAACCAGTCACGGTGGTGCAAAAGTTTGAGGACAAAATTTCTTCGAAGAAGGGGAGTATGATGTACCCCTGGATGGCTCCACCAAAACCCCAAAATCCAAAACAACACCAAAACCCTAATCTCCTCTCCTCTTCCTTCTTCTCCCCCTCTGGCCGAAACTACAACCCATCAACATACCCCACATGATTTTGTTCATTGAATTAAAACATAAAAGACCAAAACTCATGTCAAACCACAAACCTAATCAAGCCCCTCTTTGTCCCCATGTAAGGCCGAAACTAGGGGGGCCAAAAACAACCCCTCTTTTATTCCCCAACATTGACCAACCATTGTCCCCCTTGTGTCTCCCACCTAGGCTGGATAAACAATAACAAAAGGACAAAAGACTTGTGAGTTTATTGACACTCCACCCACCAAATCAGTCCCCACATACCTTCCATGAATGACCCAATATAAGGCCAATAAAACCAACCATCACCCATCCCCTTTGTCCCCCATTATTTCCCAAGAATCATCACTTATTTCCTTGTGATTTTCCTCACTAAAGGACAAGCCACCAGCCATGAAAATTAAAGACCAAATCCCTGATTTCATTCCATTAAGAAAACATAAACAAATGGATATTATTCTTGTGATTTGTGAGTGGATGTTTCTGGGAAGTTTCCCCTCTATGTGTGTGTATTTATTTCGGCCTTAGGCCATTTTGTGAGACTCATATTGTAATTCCATTT